CCCCTTGAGCCGACCGAATCCGCTAGTGATACTGACATGAGGGCGTACGAGGAAGCTGTTGAGAAGTACCGGAAATGGGAGAAGGCAGATGCTGCTATCATCAGCGTCTTCATTGCCTCCACCCCTCCCGAACTAGTCAACACGTTCCACAACTACCCTACCTCCAACGCCATTTGGAAGTACCTCCAGGATCGGTTCATGAACAAAACGGCGGTCGGAGTTGCCATCTTCATCCCCAGCATGTTCCAGGTCCGCCTTGAGGATTGCTCGGGAATGGCTGACTATATCGCCAAGGTGCAGACTATTCATGGCGAACTGAAGGAGCTGGGCATAGTCTTCCCCGAACAAGCCCCTGCAGCCGCCCTTCTTGTTGGTCTCACCTCGGCATATGAAGTAACGAGGAAGATGCTCCTCACGCTCTCAGCGGAAGACCTCACATTTACTAAGGTCTCATCCGCACTCCTCTCTGCTGAGAAAAATTCCACGGCTCAAGCCAAGGCTTACGCCATCCGCGCTCCCATGCCGCAAGCAAGTGTCGCATCGGCCCTCGCCTCGGCGCCCTTCCAGCGCAACCGGTTCCCTCTGTGCACCTATGTCGTCAAGTATGGCAACCGCAAGGGACAAGTGTGTGGTGGCACTAACCACCCTCTTGCTACGTGCTTCAAGAAGAAAGACGACGAATGGTATGCCATTCACGGAGTGGACAAGAAGCCGCCAAACTGGATGCGCCCTCGTAAGGCCAACCTAGTTGAGGTCCCGGACCCCGCTTCGGCTAGTGCTAGTGATAGTGCTCCTACTGATGTGCGTATCAACCTGCTGTTTCCTGGCACTGCCATGATTAATGAAGCTTCCTCTCAGTACCTCGGCTCATCACAAACACCACAATACATAGAGTTCACACTCGACAGCGGCGCCACACACACTGACCTCAAGGAGACACTCTCCTTCAAACCCTACGCAACACCCATCCCTCTCCTAGGAGCTGACTCAAGCTTCACCACTCATGCCAAGGGTTCATCCACAGTCCCGTGCCCCGCCTTCCCTTCCGGCACTGTCACTGGAATGTGCGTGCCTTCACTCCGCCACAATCTCGTGGCCCAAACGGAAATTCAGGAAGCTGAGTTACGCACCATCTTCTAGGAGAACGAGAACTATGGTGATATCCTCGACCCACTCACCAACAAGGTCTTGACTCGTTTCACCCTCAACAGCAGCGGCCTTTACACGCTGCAAGTACCCATCCCACAGGTGTCAACCACCTAAACAGCGGCGACTACCTCACCATGCTCGTGCCGCAGTTTCTCCAACCCGACCATACTCTACCACCATCGGCTCGGGCACCCAAACTTCCGCACACTTGCTGACATGGCCTCCAAGAAACTTCTACTCGGCCTGCCAGCCTCACTTCCTCACTGGCCTCACTCCCCCGCTCGCACGTGCCTTGACTGCACCAAGAGCAAACTGCGTCAACAGCCCCACCCGGCCTCACCCTCTGTCGCAGCAGGACCACTGGACCTGGTACACCTGGACGTCTGGGGCCCTGCCCCTGTTCCCGCACGAGGTGGTTATCGCGACTTCCTTGTTATCGTCGATGACCACTCTCGCTACATCTCTGTTCACCTCCTCCACACTAAGGCTGCGGTTCCAGAGGTCCTCATGGCGTGGGTTAAACAGGCACAGACCGCCTTTGACCGCAAAGTCAAGCGCCTCCACTCAGATGGTGGTGGTGAGTTTTGCAACGACAAGCTCAAAGCCTTCTGCTCCTCAGAAGGCATCCAGCAAAATTTCACCCTCCCTGACAGCCCGCAGCAGAACAGCATAGCTGAGAGCCGCAACCACACCCTGGTGCAGATCACTCGGTGCCTCCTCAGCCACTCCAACGCTCCGCACTCTCTCTGGGGGTACGCTCTCTACCATGCCGCCCTCCTCTACAACCTTTACCCCCACCCGCATCTTCCCGACACCACTCCAACCACACTCTGGCTCAGGAAAACGCCCACTGCTCGCTCTCTTCGCGTTTGGGGGTGCACCGCCTATGTCCTCCTCAACCCTCAGGCTCGACGGCAGCACGGCGGCAAGCTCGGTCCCAAGACCCAGACGTGCATCTACCTCGGGCACAACGCCGACTTGCCTGACTACCTCTTCCTCAATCCCTCCACTCAACAGTTGGTCCGGAGGCGCGACGTTGTCTTTGATGAGACCCGCCCATTCTACTCCACTTCGAGACAGGACCCTCTCCATGATCCACCCTCCCTCGTGTGGGCAGACTTTGATGCGCCCCCTGACCTCCCGCCTGCTCCGGCCCCTTCACCTCCTACCCCTCCTGCCACCGCACCGTCCCCCTCTGAGGTCTCTGACCCGCCCTCACCGGTGTCTTCGGCAACTGCTCCTCCATCCCCCTCACTTCCCACTCCGCCGACTGTGCAGCCACCTCCGAGCGCACCTATCACCTACCATCGACGGTCCCACCCTCCGGCCCCACCTCCTCCCCCGGTTCCCCCCACCACAGAGGAACCCGCTCTCCCACAGTCGCCCGAGCTGATCACGTACCACCGGCGGCCCATTCCCCCGCCCAAGCCTCCTAAGTCAACCCCTCCGACACCTCCTGCCCCACCCTCTTCTCCGGTGGCTCATGGCACTCGTTCGCATGGCGCGGCTCTTCCACTAGCGCTGGTTCTTCGATACACGGCGATCACACCGCCTCCTCCTGCTGGGGGGGATGTGCCCTCTACCCTTCTGGAAGACAGGCATGAGGAGCTGTGTGATCTTCATGCAGTCATTCCTCAGCTCTCGCACATCTTCCCCGACATCACTGACTCACCCTCCCTCAACTTCGCGGAGAACCCGACCATCCCTATCCCTCTCACCGTCCAAGAGGCTCTCTCAGGCCCTCATGCTGCCGAATGGCGTGCTGCCATGGAAGCGGAGATTGCAGCATTCACCCGCAACCACTCCTTCGACGACGAGACTCCACCTCCAGGAGTCAACATCGTCGGGGGCAAGTGGTTGTTCCGTGTAAAACAGCTCCCAGACGAGGCCCCGGTGTTCAAAGCGCGTTACGTAGCCAAGCGCTTCACCCAGCAGCAGTACCGCGACTTCTTCCTAACCTTCTCCCCCACATCCAAACCTCCCACCATTCGTACGCTCATGGATGTCGCAGCTCGAGAAGACTTTGAGATCAAATCCATGGATGCCTCATCCGCCTTCCTACAAGGACGTCTCAAGGAGACAGTGTTCATGGACAGACCAGAAGGCTTCCCAGGAGAATTCCCTCCCAACACTGTCTGGAAGCTGAATCGCCCCGTCTACGGCCTTAAGCAAGCCCCTCGCGAATGGCACAACAAGGTGAAAGATGTCCTCCTCTCCCTGGACTTCCACCCTTCCACTGCTGACCCGACTCTCTTCATCCGCCGTCATTCTGAGCCATTTTACATCCTGGTCTACGTGGATGATTTCATCCTCGTTGCCAAGGGCTCAGCCCAGATGACCTCTGTCCAGGCAGCCCTGAGCAAGGCCCTCCAGATGAAAGACCTCGGTGACCTCAAGCACTACCTAGGGATGGAGATCACTCGTGATCGCCAGGCTCGCACCATTTCACTCTCCCAGGAGTTCTACATCGACAATGTGCTCAAGCGGTTTGAGATGGAGCTGTGCACACCTGTTGCCACCCCGCTGCCGCTGCATCACCTCCTCACAGCTCCGGCTGTACCCACACCAGAGGCCTGCTCTGAGCCATTCCCGGAGCTTGTTGGGTCCCTCATGTACGCCATGATGTGCACCCGACCGGACTTGGCCTATCCTGCCAGTGTCCTCTCTCGCTACGTGGCCCCTGGACGCTTCACTGATCTTCACTGGAAGGCGGCGAAGCGGGTGCTGCGCTATCTTCAAGGCACCAAGTCTCACGTTCTCACACTCGGTGGGCTCTCCCCTCCTCGCCTGGAAGGTTACACCGACTCCTCCTGGGCTAATGACCAGACCGACCGACGCTCCTCTCAGGGGTACTGCTTCACCCTTGGGAGCGGAATTGTCAGTTGGCGCTCCACCAGGTCGTCTGCAGTCTCCCTCTCCTCCTGTGAGGCAGAGCTCTACGCTGGCACCATGGCTGCTCAGGATGTCCGTTGGCTCACCTTTCTACTCCAGGAGCTTGGTTTCCCATAGTCCGCCCCCACCCTCTGGTGTGACAACCAGAGTACCATCCACATCTCTCAAGACCCTGTGTATCACACCCGCACCAAGCATATTGAACTCCGGCACTTCTTCATCCGTGACCTTGTCCAACAGGAGCAGCTGAAAGTGGAATACGTTGCATCTGACTGCAACCTGGCTGATCTGTTCACCAAGCCCCTTGGGAAAGTTCCCCACCACCGTCTCCTAGGCGCCATGGGGCTCTGTGCACCACCCTCTCTACCCTGAGTTCGATTGACGCCTATGGGGGGGTGTTAGTGTTAGCCTTCAATCTCACACTTTGTACTTTGTATTTTCTATATCCTAGAGTAGTGTAGTTTGCACATTGTGTTTGGTTGGGTGTACACCTACATCCCAACCAAACCCAAATGTAATCTCCAAGCAATCTCCAACCCACCAATTGGAGATTGCCTTGGGATTACCCCCAATCCCTAGGGATTGCCTCCGATTCCCTTCCCCATCCATTCCCTCCCCTTCTTGGATGTACTTAAAGAGCTTCAAGGTCATTACTAATGCATCGCTTCTAAGCCTAAGTTCTCACAAGAGGGCCATGGCTGGATGCAAGAGGGCCATGGCTGGATGCAAGAGGGCCATGGCTGGATGCAAGAGGGCCATGGCTGGATGCAAGAGGGCCATGGCTGGATGCAAGAGGGCCATGGCTGGATGCAAGAGGGCCATGGCTGTGTTGCAAGAGGGCCATGGCTGGATGCAAGAGGGCCATGGCTGGATGCAAGAGGGCCATGGCTGGATGCAAGAGGGCCATGGCTGGATGCAAGAGGGCCATGGCTGTGTTGCGGGAGTGAAGATTGCAAGTCTCAAGTGCTGTAATGAAGGGGAAAGGGGGGGAAGGGGCAGTGAGGGGGGCAGGGAGCATGCAAGCGCACATGAGCGCTCACCTCCTCCCCCATGCGGGACCTGGGGTCTCCCGTCTCCCCCACTGCTGCAGCACCGCCGCTGCCAGCCTGTGCCCCCCGCCCCTTCACCAGCAGCACCAGGTGCCGGCCCCCACTGCCCTCCCCACCTACACCCGCTCCCATTGCGCTCCCCACCGCCTTCCGCCCCCCACCCCCCCCTGCAGCGACTGCACCATGCCCCCCTCGCCGCCTCCTCCTCATGGCTCGCAGGGACGGGCGGGAAGGGTCTGCAGTGGGGGAGGAGAGGAGAGCAGAACGGAGCAGCGGAGGGAGTACAGTCATTAATGGAGGTCAGAAGTGAGTGTACAATATAGGGAAGAGAGGCGAATAGAGAAGGAAGCTAGAAGGGAAAAAAAAAAAATCATAACTGGGCAGAAGTGAGGACGACGGGAGCACAAGGAGAATTGGAAAAAGAGAGGAAGGAGCAAAGATGGCAAAGAGAAAACACTGATGAGGAATGGCATGTAGGGGGGAGATACGATACAGGGACGCACACGCACTTGGTACGTACGTCACACCTCACTCGCACCATGCCACATGGCATTTCCCATGCAACCACTCGCACCATGCCACATGGCATTTCCCATGCAACCACTCGCACCATGCCACATGGCATTTCCCATGCAACCACTCGCACCATGCCACATGGCATTTCCCATGCAACCACTCGCACCATGCCACATGGCATTTCCCATGCAACCACTCGCACCATGCCACATGGCATTTTCCCATGCAACGACTCGCACCATGCCACATGGCATTTCCCATGCAACCACTCGCACCATGCCACATGGCATTTCCCATGCAACCACTCGCACCATGCCACATGGCATTTCCCATGCAACCACTCGCACCATGCCACATGGCATTTCCCATGCAACCACTCGCACCATGCCACCTGGCATTTCCCATGCAACCACTCGCACTATGCCACATGGCATTTCCCATGCAACCACTCGCACCATGCCACATGGCATTTCCCATGCAACCACTCGCACCATGCCACATGGCATTTCCCATGCAACCACGCAAGCCACACACGTGCATGCCACATACATGCTCCATGCATGCCGCACATGCACGCTCCATGCATACTGTATGCATGCCCCATGCACGCCACATGCACGCCAAATGCATGCCCCCATGCTGCCTGCCACACCACATGCATGCCCCCATGCTGTCTGCCACAGCACATGCATGCCCCATGCACGCCGCATGGGCACAGACCTGCTATCCTCGCATGGGCACATACCTGCTATCCTCGCATGGGCACAGACCTGCTATCCTCGCATGGGCACAGACCTGCTATCCTCGCATGGGCACAGACCTGCTATCCTCGCATGGGCACAGACCTGCTATCCTCGCATGGGCACAGACCTGCTATCCTCGCATGGGCACAGACCTGCTATCCTCGCATGGGCACAGACCTGCTATCCTCGCATGGGCACAGACCTGCTATCCTCGCATGGGCACAGACCTGCTATCCTCGCATGGGCACAGACCTGCTATCCTCGCATGGGCACAGACCTGCTATCCTCGCATGGGCACAGACCTGCTATCCTCGGATGGGCACAGACCTGCTATCCTCGCATGGGCACAGACCTGCTATCCTCGCTGCCACTCGCAGTGGCCAGAAGTTGCCGCCACACAGCCGCAGCTCCCTCAGCTGATGGGAGTGGGGGAACGGGGAGGGAAGGATGGGGCGGAGAGAGAGGGAGGCAGAACGTGAGGCGGTAGGTGGGGGCAGCAGGGAAAGGGAAGGATGGGGTGACATGGCAGCAGGCAGCAGAAGAGGCATGGCAGCGTGGCATAGTGAGTTGGATGGCATGTGTACATCCCATGTGTGCTTGCTTCCCAGTGCTGCCTTTCTCCAACACCTGAGGCAAGAGCAGCACCTGAAGCCAGTGGAGAGAGCACCTGAGGCAGCGGCGGCAGCAGGCACGGCGTATGCAGCGACAGCGCGGTTGGAGTGGACGAGTCAGAGGACTTGAGGGTGAGGTGCAGTGGAGCAATGACAGGCTGCCACGTGTCCACGTCCACAGCCTCCACGAACGCCCTCTCTTCCACCGCCAGCACCCAGAAGTGCCGCAACGCCTGGCATGGTGGGGGGGGGGGAGAGGAGACGGGGGAATGGGGAGGAGGACGAGAGGGGAGGGGGACGAGAGGGGTGAGGGGTGAGGAAGGCAGACAGGTGTGAGAGGGGAAGAAGGGAAAGCATTTTAGCAATGTACCTTAAAGTTCTAATCTGACTCTATCGCTCAAGCCTCCCTATTCCAGGGGCTGAGAGGTGAGAGCTCCAACCCTAACAGCAAGTCAGGGCCATAAGATTGGCAGGGCAGTTGGTGCACCCGGAAAATTTCAAGCGACAGCAGCTGAGCCAAATAGTAATAACCTCCTCCCTCTCTCCTTGCCTTTTCTCCATGAATTGACAATCCCCACCTAGTGTCCTTGTTTTGTGACAAAACGACTGCCCCATACCCCCCCGCTCTCCCCCTGCTCCCTCGTTTCCTTGCTTCGCTTTCTCTCGTCCACCTCCTCTACTTCGCAAACTCCTTTCACAGCCGGCTGTCGCCTGCCCTTCCACGCACACCACACAGCTGCCGCACGGCACACCACACAGCTGCCGCACGGCACACCACACAGCTGCCGCACGGCACAGCAAGGAGCAGCTCACCTGCAGGTGGCAGCGGTGGTCGGCGGGCGAGGAGGGGAAGTGCGGGAAGAGCGCGAGCAGCAGCGCCGCCACAGCAGGGGGCGACGTGGAGAAGGTGGCCTGGCAGGCACTCAGGCCCAGGAAACCGATCGCCATGCTCACCTAGAAAAAGGGAAGGGGAGGGGAGGGGAGGGAGGGGAGGGGAGGGGAGGGGAGGGGAGGGGAGGGGAGGGGAGGGGAGGGGAGGGGAGGGGAGGGGAGGGGAGGGAGGGGAGGGGAGGGAAGGGGAGGGGAGGGGAGGGGATGGGAGAGGAGGGGAGGGGAGGGGAGGGGAGGGGAGGGGAGGGGAGGGGAGGGGAGGGAGGGGAGGGGAGGGAAGGGGAGGGGAGGGGAGGGGATGGGAGAGGAGGGGAGGGGAGGGGAGGGGAGGGAGGGGAGGGGAGGGAAGGGGAGGGGAGGGGAGGGGAGGGGAGGGGAGGGGAGGGGAGGGGAGGGAGGGGAGGGGAGGGAAGGGGAGGGGAGGGGAGGGGATGGGAGAGGAGGGGAGGGGAGGGGAGGGGAGGGGAGGGGAGGGAGGGGAGGGGAGGGAAGGGGAGGGGAGGGGAGGGGATGGGAGAGGAGGGGAGGGGAGGGGAGGGGAGGGGAGGGGAGGGGAGAGGAGGGGAGGGGAGGGGAGGGGAGGGGAGGGGAGGGGAGGGGAGGGGTTTATGGAGATGTCTGAAAAGGTGCCGTGGAGAAGGTGACCTGGCAGGCGCTATGGCCCAGGAAGCCGATCGCCATGCTCACTTGGGGAGGAGAGGGGGAGGTGGAGTTACAATTGGAGGTGGCAGGATATTGGGAGAGGGAAGGAGTGAAGGAAGTGAGGGGAAGGGAGGAGCAGGGGCAGCAGCGGTACATTTGCACTCTCAGATGCTGCTGGCCGCCTCTGGCCCATCCCATGCATGAGCTCATCACAATGCAACCCAAGACTGCCATGCAGCATACAGCCATGCAGCATCCAGCCATGCAGCATACAGCCATGCAGCATCCAGCCATGCAGCATACAGCCATGCAGCATACAGCCATGCAGCATACAGCCATGCAGCATACAGCCATGCAGCATACAGCCATGCAGCATACAGCCATGCAGCATCCCCACAGGGCAGCATACCGCCATGTGCGAGCCATAGGTGGTGGCGGCGTTGACAGCAGCGGCATCGGCAGCAGCAGCGGTGCGACGGTGGAAGAATCGTAACAAACGCAGCGAAGGTAGATGGCCCGTGCCTGCCATAACCTGGTGCGACGGGGAGAAAAGGGGAGGAGTTGAGTGGGAGGTGAGGGAAGTGGTTACGAACAGAGAAGGAAGAAAAGAATAGGAGAAGAAAACATGGAGAAATGGCAGGCTTAGTTGGAGTATACGCTCTGAACATTTTGCGTATTGCGTTTATACGCGCTAAAAAAACGACCGCTGCGTTTTTGGTTCGGAAACGCTGAAAAACGCTCGGGCAGACCGGGAAAAAAAAATCAAAATTTGAGTTTCGTTTAGCGACATGGCGATTCAAGTGTGGGGTTTCGCACGTCGCGAGTGCAACCCCGAATTCGAAATTTGAAACCGAGTCGCACCAAACCCACCCTTTACCATTGCAAACCCCCTTGTACCCCGTTCACTTCCAACCTCTTCAAATACAATGTTGAGGTGAGTCCCCCTCAACCCACCCACCATTCCTACCATAAATGTCGTGTCTTTCCACTCGACTTTCATTACTCAGTTTAGCTCTCTTCTTTAGCTCGCCTTTCAGTATGGCGACCCCTCCTGCAGCAACACTCAGTACTACTACCCGTACTGCAGCTCCTAATGCTAGTTCTGTTGAGGAAACCAGCGCCGGTCTGGTTATCATGCACGAAACCCATGCTGTGTACAAGCATTTCCTTGTGAAAGCCGGCGACGACAGCGACCACGCCACCAAGGTGTGCATGTACTGTCGCCACAAGTTCACGGGCGGTATGTACCGCGCTGCTCAGCACATCACCAGCTGGAAGGGTATGCGGCGTCGTGAAATCCGCCTCTGCGAGGAAGCTCCCAAGACCACGCGGGATGGAGTGAAGTCACAGTACGAGACGAAGTCCAGGACCCGGGACCAGAAGCGCGCGGCTGAAGTCTCGGCCGTTGCTGCAGTTTCCGGTGCTTCTGGCGAGGCGAAGAAGTCTCGCATGACCGATTTCTACGGCGACGCGTCAGCCTGCAAGAAGAACGATGCCGACGAGTCGATCTGCCTCGCGTTCGCTGCTCTGCGCCTCCCCGAACACCACGCGGACCACCCTGTTTGGCGCAACATGGTCTCCTGCATTGCGCGTGCGGGCGAAGGCTACCTCGCACCGAGGCGTCGCTACGTCGGCGGCGTCGGGCTCCAGAAATGTCGTAAGCGCATTGAGGCGGCGCTTGCTCCTATCGCGGCGAGCTGGCGGCGGGATGGCGTAACGGTGTCAAGCGACATGATGACTGATCGTAACGGCCGTCCGCAAGCCAATGTCCTTCTGATCAACGACAGTGGCGCGGTCTTCGCTGAGACAATCGACACACGGATGGAATCGAAGACGGGAGGTTACATCGCGGGGCTTCTCCGTCCCATTCTCAAGAAAGTCGGACCGGAAAATGTGGTGGCATTTTGCATGGACGGCGGCTCGAACTATGCGGTGGCGTGCAGGGAGCTGATGGAGGATTACCCCCACATTGAGTACATACCTTGTGCTACCCACGTCCTCGATCTGTTGATGGAGGACGTGGGGAAGATGGACTGGGCGAAGAACCTTGTCACCCGCGGGGGAGAGATCATCACCTTCACGCGCAACCACCACTTCACGCGGGGGTATTTGCGAAGCTCCGAGGTCAAGGGCGGGAAGGGCAAGCAGGTCCTGAAACCCGCGGGCACTCGCTTCGGGACGCAATTCATCGCTATTTCCCGCCTTGTCGAAGTCCGTGCTGCCCTCGTGCAGATGGTTTTAAGCGATGAATGGAAGGAGTGGGCAACAGGGGCAAGGAGTAAAAGCGCGGACACTTTCCGCGAGCACATCATGGACGAGGCTTGGTGGAAGAAGGCCGAGTTCTTCACCAAGCTCATGGCGAAGCCGTTCGCCGTCATGCGGGCTACGGATGCTGCGACAAAGGGGATGATGGGGCGCCTCTACGACGCCATGCTGCAGCTCACCGAGGACGTGGATGCAATCCTCGAGGAGCACTCCGCGGGTCACCTGACGAGGGCGGAGGTTAAGGAGATCCGCCTCATCGTGAAGGATAGGTGGGATAAGTGCTTGGCGTGCCCCTTGCATGTGGTTGGCAGGATCTTGAATCCGGTCAACCAAGAGGAGGGCATCTTCAGAAACGACATCGAATGCACGCGCGTGCTGAAGGGCTACATCGCCAAGCACTACGACCACCTCACCATCACCGCGAGCGACGGCGAGGAGCGCCGAGCCTCTCTTGTGCTGCAGGAGGAACTGACGGCGTACCTGACCCTGCAGGGGAGTTTCGGGCTGCTCACCGCCTTGGAAGACCGCGCGGCTGTGAAGGCGGGGAAGATGACGGCCGTCCAGTGGTGGAATTGGCACGGCACAGATGCGCCCCACCTTGCTACGTGCGCAATCCGCAACCTTTCGCAGCCGGTGTCCGCGTCGCCCTGTGAGCGCAATTGGTCCATGTGGGACGCGGTCCACACGGCAAGGCGCAACCGCCTCGGGTCCGAGAAGTGCAGGGACCTCGTATATGTTGTGCACAACTGGCAGGTTGTGCACAATTGGTACAAGGTCCCTGAGGGGCAGCGGGTGGTCAAGGGCAACATTCCTGAGGCGCCCCTTCCCGAGGGCTACAAGGTGGAGGAGGATGGGGCGGAGGAGGAGGTTGGGGAGGAAGAGGACATGGTTCTTGAGGATGAGTATGCATAGACATGCATGTGGGGAGGGGGTGGTATGGGATGGGATGGGATGGGCCTATGAAGTGTAGTGATTCCTGAAAAAGGGAAGGGAAAGGTAGGTGGGGTAGGGGGTCTAGTGATGTAGGCAAAATGTTGTGTGCATGTAACCTGCCCTATAATAAAAAGGGGAAGGGAGGTGATGGTGCCTTGCACCACCCCCTTCCCCACATCTTAACCCAAAAAAATTCACCTGCCCGAAACTTTTTTTACCCCTGCCCGGCCCTGCGTTTTCACTGCGTATTAGACCCCTCCAAAGCTGCGTACTGCGTTTATACGCTAGCGTTTATACGCTAGCGTATAAAACGCGAAACGCGTATACTCCAACTAAGATGGCAGGAGCAAGAGCGTGTTGCGAGAAGGAAGGTTGGGCTGGGGAGAACAGCAAAGTGTAGGAGGGCAAGGGAGAGCAGAATGAACGAAGGAGGGCAGAGTGAAGGAGAGGCAGTAGAGCGTACGAGGGAGAGGGAGAGCACGGCAGCGTTGACAGCAGTGTCGAGGGTGCGCGCGTCCAGCAGCGCCCGCCAGTGCAGCAGCGGCACGGCGAACGGGCAGGCCACGGCCGTGAGGGGCCGGCGCTGCAGTGAGAGGGAGATGGGAGAGGGAGATGGGAAGGGAAGGGAAGGGAAGAGCAGAGAGTGAATGCGCCACACGTGAGAGTGCTTCTTTGAGTCACATAATGTAAAATATCCATCTTGGCACCACCTTCTCTGCCTACGGCCGCCCGCCTCCCTCCCTCCACTGCCCTCCTCCCAAGCGCCACCAACCTCTCTGTGTGCTTCTCACCTCGCGGAGGAGGAAGAAGAGCAGCGCATAGCGCCGCAGAAGCTTCTCCGCCTCGCCATTGGCTGAACCCGCATAGCGCAGCCCTGAGGGGCGCACAGAGGCGGGGAGACAGATGGGGGTCAGAAAGAAATAGCCAAGGACGGAAGCGGATGGAGTGAAGTCACATGGGAAAGCAGAAGGATGGGGGCGAGGATATGACAGTGGGGGGACATGCAGTGGTGGATGGAGGGGGGTGTGAGGATGAAGCGGCACATGCTGATTTCCTGCGCTGCGCACTTTGAATCCAACCTTCCGTACCTTCTCTATCCCCACACTCTTCCTGCCTCACTAGACTCAGCCCGCCCAGCTGCCAGGCACCCAGGGCAATGGCATGGGTCAACTCACCGAGCGCCAGGCAGCACCCCGCCAGCACGTTGCACAGCGCCAGAGCCATGGCCTCCTCATCCACATCCGCCTCCCCCTCCCCTCCCCCCTCCCCTCCCCCCTCCCCTCCCCGCTTCCCCACGCCCCGCCCCTCCTCATCCTCCCCCTCACTCCCCCCTTCGCCCCTTCCCCCGGTGGCGGCCACAGCGGCACGGATGATGCCCGGCACCTGTGCTGCCACCCACTCGTCTGACGGCCGCACGCTGCAGTGGAGGGAGGGGAGTGGAGGAAAGGAACTTGGTGGGAATGGGATCTAGGGATGTGGGATGGAAGAGGTTGACCCAAGGGGAGGAGGAAAGAAAGGAGGGCTTTTTGGGCCAACCACTCCTTGACTGAATCACTCTACTCTACCTATTAATTCCCCATCCCTACTACCCCCACTAGTCTCACACTTGTACCAATTACAACCCTTCCACTCCAAACGCATGTCCTTCAAAAGCGCCAGCTCTTCCTAGTTCCACCACGAGGCTTGAGGATGAGCGCACCTGTCCCAGAGGATGAGCGCACCTGTCCCAGAGGATGAGCGCACCTGTCCCAGAGGATGAGCGCACCTGTCCCAGAGGATGAGCGCACCTGTCCCAGAGGATGAGCGCACCTGTCCCAGAGGATGAGCGCACCTGTCCCAGAGGATGAGCGCACCTGTCCCAGAGGATGAGCGCACCTGTCCCAGAGGATGAGCGCACCTGTCCCAGAGGATGAGCGCACCTGTCCCAGAGGATGAGCGCACCTGTCCCAGAGGATGAGCGCACCTGTCCCAGAGGATGAGCGCACCTGTCCCAGAGGATGAGCGCACCTGTCCCAGAGGATGAGCGCACCTGTCCCAGAGGATGAGCGCACCTGTCCCAGAGGATGAGCGCACCTGTCCCAGAGGATGAGCGCACCTGTCCCAGAGGATGAGCGCACCTGTCCCAGAGGATGAGCGCACCTGTCCCAGAGGATGAGCGCACCTGTCCCAGAGGATGAGCGCACCTGTCCCAGAGGATGAGCGCACCTGTCCCAGAGGATGAGCGCACCTGTCCCAGAGGATGAGCGCACCTGTCCCAGAGGATGAGCGCACCTGTCCCAGAGGATGAGCGCACCTGTCCCAGAGGATGAGCGCACCTGTCCCAGAGGATGAGCGCACCTGTCCCAGAGGATGAGCGCACCTGTCCCAGAGGATGAGCGCACCTGTCCCAGAGGATGAGCGCACCTGTCCCAGAGGATGAGCGCACCTGTCCCAGAGGATGAGCGCACCTGTCCCAGAGGATGAGCGCACCTGTCCCAGAGGATGAGCGCACCTGTCCCAGAGGATGAGCGCACCTGTCCCAGAGGATGAGCGCACCTGTCCCAGAGGATGAGCGCACCTGTCCCAGAGGATGAGCGCACCTGTCCCAGAGGATGAGCGCACCTGTCCCAGAGGATGAGCGCACCTGTCCCAGAGGATGAGCGCACCTGTCCCAGAGGATGAGCGCACCTGTCCCAGAGGATGAGGGAGCACGCGAGGACGCGCAGGAGGATGAAGTCGGGGCGCACAAACTCGAGGGCGAAGTGCGTTGCTGGCGGGGCCAGGCGCGCCGCCACCGCCTCGTTGTTCGACTGCCGGGGTGCGCGTCGGTGGGGGGGGTGGATGGCCGGCGGGGAGGATGGGTTACAGGGGAAGGGATGTCGGTGGGGGGGGGGGGGGGGGGTGGGGAGGAAGAAGGAAATTGTACAGGAGGGGAGCAAGCGTACAGAGGGAGCTGCCTTTTGGATGCCTTTAACACTGAATGGAGAAATTTGTTTACAACCAAAGGAGCAGGAGTCCACCTGAAGGTACATCATGGCAAGGGCGAGAATTGCTCCTGGTGCCGTGACATCCACGTTGGGTGTGTTGCCCTCCAGCACCTGTTGGTCCGGTGAAGTGCGGTGGCACCCCATGATGGCGGCAAGGGCATGCATGCATAGTTAGAAGGACTTGTTGAGGTAGCTGTGTTGGGTGTAATGCGGGTGAACGAACACCCTGTTCGTGGTGAACGAACACCCTGTTCGTGGTGAACGAACACCCTGTTCGTGGTGAACGAACACCCTGTTTGTGGTGCACGAACACCCTGTTCGTGGTGAACCCAATGCCTCGTTGCTAAGTTGGTGCTGGCCGAACCAGAACTTGGCTGAAAGCAGCACCCCACCCCAGCACCCCCAACACCCCGCACTGGAACTTGGTACACCAACAGTGTGAGTGGCGAGCCGCTTGTTGTGAGTGGCACCCACACCAGCAACCAACCGCCTGGCTGATTGTCCTAGGCACTGATGCTCCCCTGGCTTGTACGGGTCGCTTGCCCTCTCAGGCTGATGCAACCCTTCTAGACTGATCAAGTTCTCTATCAGACGGCATTGACCATGTATGTATGCTGCAAACTGCACATTGCATGGGGGACATTGCATGGGGGACATTGCATGGGGGACATTGCATGGGGGACATTGCATGGGGGACATTGCATGGGGGACATTGCATGGGGGACATTGCATGAGGGACATTGCATGGGGGACATTGCATGGGGGACATGGCACAACGGAGGTGCGGCAAGCACACTCACATGGCCGCTGCTGCTGGCACTGGCACCCGGCCACTGCCCCATGCCCCCCGCCTTGCCCCCTGCCGCCCCCCCTCCCCCCCAAATCCACTCCGCCTGCCCTGCTGCTCCCTGCTGCCCCTGCTGCTGCCGCGAGGACAGGAGAGCAAGGGTCGAGAGAGAAGGGGGCGGGGAGGTGGTGAGGGAGAGTGGAAGAAGAGAGTATGGAAACGCGGCCGGGGGGAAAGCTATGGGAAAGGTGAAGAAGAGATGCGGACCAAGAGAGTGAGGAGACGAAAGGAGTGAGGAGACGAAGGGAGTGAGGAGACGAAGGGAGTGAGGAGACCAAGGGAGTGAGGAGACGAATGAGCAAGGGAAGGGAGCAGCGAGGAGCAGAAGGGAGTGAGGAGGAGGGGCATACGGAAGGGTCGAGGGCGGGAGAGAAGTAGCGTTGCAATCGGTCCTCCATCCGCAGGTCCCACAGCCCCCACGCCCTCCCTGCCGTGCCTGTGTGTGTCCCGCCGTGGGCGTTCGAGGCATGTTGAAGAGCGCAGGTGCGAGGGCGCAGGTGCGAGGGCGCAGGTGTGAGGGCGCAGGTGCGAGGGTGCAGGTGTGAGGGCGCAGGTGCGAGGGCGCAGGTGTGAGGGCGCAGGTGTGAGGGCGCAGGTGTGAGGGCGCAGGTGTGAGGGCGCAGGAAACAAAGAGATGGGCGAAGGTGAGGAGACAGGAGTAGATGTGCGCCAGATAATCGAGACAGGCATAGAAACCACCGAGTGTCTGACTGACATGACTATCCGAGAGTTGAAACGACATATGCATCTCATCCCAATATCACCCTATGGCAGCAGCGTACCGAGGGTGACTAGCCCCAGAGCGAGGCCAGCCCCAAGAGAGTACCCCTCCCTCTCCATGCTGCCCTCCCCCTCTGGCTTGCGCCCTATCTCGTCCTGACAGGGCGGGGAGAGGGTGAGGGGGAGGAAAGAGGTGATCCATGCGGTGGTGACCCCAAGTGAATGGGCCATTCAGAATGGCAAAGCCCAAACTTGTTGTGCCCCATGCCCCGAGCTAGTTGGCCGGCGTTTGCTATCGTTGGCATTCGATTCCCTCCCCCCCAACAGCCTGGAAGCCGAACCTCCAACTCTCTCTCCTGCTCCCAGGTTCAACCCCCAGCCGCTTACCCCGCTCTTTCTGCTCTCACGCTCTCATCACCTTCATCCCCATGCTCCTCTCTTTGCTGTTTCCCCTCTTTCCTCCCCCTCACCCCCTCCACCAACAGGCAGCAGGCAGCAGGCAGCAGGCAGCATGCAGCAGGCAGCAGGCAGCATGCAGCAGGCAGCAGGCAGCATGCAGCAGGCAGCAGGCAGCAGGCAGCAGGCAGCAGGCAGCAGGCAGCAGGCAGCAGGCAGCATGCAGCAGGCAGCAGGCAGCAGGCAGCAGCGCAGCAGGCAGCATGCAGCAGGCAGCATGCAGCAGCGCAGCAGCGCAGCAGGCAGCAGGCAGCAGGCAGCAGCGCAGCAGGCAGCATGCAGCAGCGCAGGGAAAAGGGGACTCACTAGCAGGATCTCAGTGGTGAGGCGGTGCGCTGACCCCATGTGCAGCAGCCCCACGCCCACCAGCGCTGCCGTCTGCACCAGAGAAAGGAGGGGTGCAGAGAGAAAAGGAGCAGCAGGTGGTGGATGGATCATAATGGACATTGAGGTCGGGAAGAGAGGATCACAATGGACATTGAGGTCGGGAAGAGAGGATCACAATGGACATTGAGGTCGGGAAGAGAGGATCACAATGGACATTGAGGTCGGGAAGAGAGGATCACAATGGACATTGAGGTCGGGAAGAGAGGATCACAATGGACATTGAGGTCGGGAAGAGAGGATCACAATGGACATTGAGGTCGGGAAGAGAGGATCACAATGGACATTGAGGTCGGGAAGAGAGGATCACAATGGACATTGAGGTCGGGAAGAGAGGATCACAATGGACATTGAGGTCGGGAAGAGAGGATCACAATCGACATTGAGGTCGGGAAGAGAGGATCACAATCGACATTGAGGTCGGGAAGAGAGGATCACAATGGACATTGAGGTCGGGAAGAGAGGATCACAATGGACATTGAGGTCGGCAAGAGAGGATCACAATGGTGGAGGGAAAATGGATGATGGGGGACGAGATAGGTGACGTACCTGAATGGAGGGAGGGAGCTCGAGGTCGGGGAAGGACGGAGGGTGGCGCGATGGGATGTGCAGATAGAGCATCTGGTGGTGGGAGGGGTGGGTGCAGGGGGGCGGGGAGAGGGAGAATAGAGGAGACTAGTGATTCGCACAGGGGAAAGAAGAAAGAGAAAGGCGCATTGTGAAGATTCATGGGAGGTTGAGGAGCGCTGAGGGTGTGTGGATGGGAGGGGAAACGAGTCCGCAACACAATGCATGGCATGAGAAGGCATGAAGGAGGAACGCTGTTGGGAAGATATTTGCACATGGCAGCACATCTTGCACATGGCAGCACATCTTGCACATGGCAGCACATCTTGCACATGGCAGCACATCTTGCACATGGCAGCACATCTTGCACATGGCAGCACATCTTGCACATGGCATGGCAGCACGCGTCACGTTGCAGATAGTGGCATCCATGGTGGAGCGGTACGATGCAGATAGTGGCATCCATGGTGGAGCGGTACAATGCAGATAGTGGCATCCATGGTGGAGCGGTACGTTGCAGATAGTGGCATCCATGGTGGAGCGGTACGATGCAGATAGTGGCATCCATGGTGGAGCGGTACAATGCAGATAGTGGCATCCATGGTGGAGCGGTACGTTGCAGATAGTGGCATCCATGGTGGAGCGGTACGTTGCAGATAGTGGCATCCATGGTGGAGCGGTACGATGCAGATAGTGGCATCCATGGTGGAGCGGTACGATGCAGATAGTGGCATCCATGGTGGAGCGATACGTTGCAGATAGTGGCATCCATGGTGGAGCGGTACGATGCAGATAGTGGCATCCATGGTGGAGCGGTACGTTGCAGATAGTGGCATCCATGGTGGAGCGGTACGATGCAGATAGTGGCATCCATGGTGGAGCGGTACGATGCAGCGGCACCCAACAGGATGACATGACACGACATAACAAGGCATGACGAGAGAACGCTATTGGAAAGAGATGAAGCACCTTGCACACGGCATGACAGCACCCCTCACCTTGCACACGGCATGACAGCACCTGTCACTCACCTTGCAGATATTGGCGTCCATGGTAGCGCGGTACGACGCAGCAGCGCCCAGCAGCACGCCCACCGTCGTCGCCTCGTGCTCCTGGGGGAAGGGAAAGGGGCGTGGGAGGGAGAAACAGGTGGGAGGAAGGGGATCGCAGATGAGCGGGACCACTAGTGTGAGTGAGACATGATGCAAAGAAGCTGAATCGGCCAACAATGTCAGGGTGCAGCAGAGAGAAGCGGGAACACGTCGCAGAGATGTTGGGGAGGTGTGCGGTAAGTGGCCCACAGACCGAATAAAATTCCAGTCTGTTGAACCGAGGCCCACGTGGCATCACGTGGACTACAGCCACACCATCAGAGCAGGGGGGGAGGCAGCGAAACCCACGAGGGCAAGGTCGCGGAAGAAGTCGGTGGGGGCGAGCACACGCAGGTGGCCGCGCAGCCCCAGCGCCATGAGCAACCCCCCGTGTGCACTGCTCGCCTCCGCTGGCCGGTTGTACACCACCCATGCCCGTGTGACTGTGCCCGGCTGGTAAGGGTTGGAAGGGGCAGGGAGAGGCAGGGATGGGCAGGGATGGAGCTTTTGAGTCGACTCAACAGAGCAGCACCACGCCGTGTCCACTGCTTGCCTCCACTGGCCGGTTGTACACCACCCATACCCGCGTCACCGCGTCTGGCTGTGAGGGAGGGGGTAACGGAGAGAGGCACGGGTGGGGATGAATGCTTGTAACGAGGATAAGTTGCGGAGGGATGGAATGCGAAAAAGGGATGTGAGGTGTCAGCGGGCTGTGCGAGTTGAGGGCGAGCGTTGAGGGGACGGGGGCATGGCAGCTGGCGATCACATGAGCAGGACAACAGCACGGGCACACCAGTAGGAGAGAGAGCCGGCGAGGTGAGGTGCGGTGAGGTGATGTGAGGTGATGTGAGGTGATGTGAGGTGAGGTGATGTGAGGTGAGGTGAGGTGATGTGAGGTGAGGTGAGGTGATGTGAGGTGATGTGAGGTCATGTGAGGTCATGTGAGGTGATGTGAGGTGATGTGAGGTGAGGTGAGGTGAGGTGAGGTGATGTGAGGTGAGGTGAGGTGATGTGATGTGATCTGAGGTGATGTGAGGTGATGTGAGGTGATGTGAGGTCACTCACGGGCACACGGGCGAGCTTGAGGCCGGCTGCCACTCCATTGTGGAACTCCGGCCACGTGGCGAGCTCTGATAGGTTGCCCAGCGTGCCGTCCAGCCCCACCTGGAGGAGAGAGCGAGTGAGGCAAAATGGCGGGCGGGGAGAGGGGTCGAAGAGGACGGTGCTAAGCTGCCGCAGCAGGCAGGGAAGCAGGCTTCAACGTAACAGCCAACACTTGAGGTGCACAGAGATGACGACTTCAAAGAGAGGCGTCATCATCTTGGTTGCATGAGAGGTGGCGGCGGCATGAGAGGGTGATGGCAGCGACTCTGCTCTATTCCCGCATGCCCAGCTGCACTGCACCCACCGTGGCGTCGTTCTGCGCCGTCAAGCGCCCCGCCAGCACCAGCTTGGGGACCGACAGGGCCTGCAGGGGGTTAGAAGCAGCAGGCACACAGGCAGATAGGCAGCCATGCAACCAGGAAGAGAGGCAGAGGCACAGACATTATTGTGAAAAAAAGAAGTTGGTGGTTGGGATCTCGGCCAGGATAATTGGTCCGCACCAATATACTAAGTTGGATGAATCAGTGGGGGGTTTGGTCTGAGGGAGTCAAAATATTTGGCCCCTGAATAGTTTACCAACCCTTTTGGGCAGAACAGTTCAACTCCCCGACCCAACTACGGTGAAACCTAACTGTACACCCAAACGAAGTGCCTAAACCTGCACAAGAATCGTAGTATATGCAGGATAAAATAATCATTAGCTTCTGACAAAGTGCCCATGCCATAGAAATAAATCGGTGGGGTAGGGTGCATTGCGGGAATCAGGCGCAAGGCAGGTGGCCTGGGTGAGGGCGGGGCAAGGCAGGGCAGCAGGCGTGCCTGGGTGAGGGTGGGCGGGGCGGTGGCGAAGGTGAAGGCAGCGCGGCCCAGCGGTAGCGCCACCGTGCGATGCGCCACCTGCCATAGCCGCGCCTGATGGGGGGAAGAGTAGCGTGAAGTGGCATAGGGATGATGCGATGAGCAGCAAATGATGGCGGGAGAGGGGGAAGTGGGGGAGTAGTGGGCGACATGAATGGGCATGGGCAGAAAGGAAAGGGGTGGTGATATCGAGCATGACACTTTCCACGCTGCTGATGCCAAGGCAAGGAGGAAAGGGGGACGAGTGGACCTCACTAGCTTCACTACGAGGGGCACCTGGTGGGCGGCAAGGGGCACCTGGTGGGTGGCGAGGGGCACCTGGTGGGCGGCGAGGGCGTCGGGGTCGGTGGAATCAGAAGCAGCGGCGGCCGGCAGGGGCACTGGGCGCGCAGAGCACAGCAGGCGACGCACCTGGTGAGGAAGGGGAGGGAAAGGGAGAGGGGGACGAGGCAGGTTGAGAGGTGCCGCAGTGTGGGCTGAGTGAGAGTGCAGGCAGAGAGGTGGCGAGGAAGGCGAGGCAGTGGGATAGGAGGATGCAAGGAGACGGGGTCACGAATCACCATCCACAGTGACATCTCTGGCACCCACGTTGCCCACACAGTGCTGTGCTCCACTTGAGTGCGGCTCACATGCTAGCGTGCCCCACCCACGCGTGCTTCCCCCCCTCTTGACCCATGCAGGGCTCACCTCAGCAAGACGAAGGTCACAGGGGAAGCGCAGGGCGAGCAGGGAGCGGGCGGGCGGCAGCAGCAGATGCTCCATGCCGTCCGCCACCATGCCCTCTCCCCCTGCGCCCTCCACTCCCGCCCCTCCCCCTCCCACCCCAGTCGCGTCCGATGCCCCCCCCACCCCCACTCCGCTGCCCGCCCCCGCCCCCATGCCCCCCACGCCCACCCCTGAGGCGGAGGCAAGGCCTTGAGAGGCGTGGGATCCGGGGAGGGCGAGAGAGGGGTGCAGGGCGGAGTGGGGGGACGAGGGGAAGGGGGAGAGTGGGCGCACGAGCACAGTGGGAGGGAAGGAGAAGGCGAGAGGCGAAAGGGAGTGTGGGGAAAGGGGCGGTGCAGTGGTGCGCGGTGGCGCGCTTGCGGTGATGGTGGCTTCCTTAGCGCTGCTGAGATGCGAGTGAGGGGAGGGGCAGCGAGGCAGCGGCGAGTGGCGGAGGGAGAAGCAGTGCAGGCAGGCGGTGGCGGTGGCAGCCAGGTCGTCTCTCCCCACCAACACGTATGCCGCTGCTGGCCAGCCTGGGGGAGGGTTTTCCCTGCACACGTGCAGTGCCTGCAACAGGGGTGGGCAGGGGTGGAGTGCGGTGGGGTGGGTGGGGGAAGCGTGGAGAGGGTTTAGAGTATGGACGGGAATAAGGGGTCAGGAAAAGAGGGAAAGCGAGGAGGAAGAAAGCAAGAAGCGATGGTGGCAAGGGAAGGAGCTGACCTGTAGAAGGGGCAGGGCGACGGCAGGGGGCAGCCTCTGGAGGTCGGACCTCCCCATGTGTGCCGCCACCATGGCTGCCACACACCGCTCACTCAACCCCGCTACACCATCGCCCCCAGCTGCAGTCACCACTCTCTCGCCCTCACTCTCACCCCCTGCTGCTCCCCCTTTCCCTCCCTTGTCAGTGCCTGCCTTCCCTCCACCTGACGCCTCCTCCCTCACCGCCGGCTTGTGCCTGGCCTTGGAGGGCGGGCGGGCAGCAGGGCGGGTCCAGGCACCGCGGGGGAAGAGCAGCGAGAAGAGCGGCACCACCAGGGGCAGCAGCCCAGGCCCGCCTTCCCCCTCGCCCTCCCACTCCTCCCACCACTCGCCCTCCCACTCCTCCCACCACTCGCCCTCCCACTCCTCCCACCACTCGCCCTCCCACTCCTCCCACCACTCGCCCTCCCTCGCTCCCTGCTGTACACTCGCCTCTCTGCCTCTCCCCTCCCCATTGCCCACCTCCTCTTCCCCCACTTTCTCTGCCACCTGCCCTGCGCTGTCCAGCATGGGCTGGGCGGCAGCGGACAGCAAGGAGGGCGGCATCCACGCCAGCCAAGGGGCGGCATGCTTTGGACCGTACTGCACGGTGCGAGCCAACCAGGTGAAGACACATGGCACGACGGATGGCAGTGTGGGGTGGGGGGGCAGTGCGCGCTCTGACAGAATGGGGGGGAAGGAGCGTGCGAGGAGGGAGAGGGAGGGGTGGTGGCGCTGGTAGTGGTCGCACAAGTCATGCGCGCCCAGCACTGCTGCCAGCACCCACACCAGCGCTGCCAGACGGGGCAGCGAGCTGGGTGGATGGGGGGGTGTGTTGGGGGATGGGGGAACAGGAGAAGGGAAAGGAGAGCAGGGTGGGTGGAGTGAGCGGAGAGTAGGAGGAGAGGGTGCGATAGTCAGATCAGAGATACTGCTGCAGCGATGGTCAGAGATACTGCTGCAGTGCTGGTGGCCATGCCATGGGGCCCACCAAGAAGCCCAACAGCATGGCAGCAGTGTCTCACACCCATTCACCCACCCACCCACCTGCGGCACAGGGCATCAAGGCGGCTCTCCTCATACACGCCGTGCAGCGCCCGCAGCAACTCCACCAACTCGCCCACCCCCACACCCTCCCCGCCCTCGCCCCACTCTCCCCCCACCTGCACGCCCTCCCCGTTCCCCCCTCTCTCCCCTCCCCGCGCACTGCCCTCTGTAGCAGAGCTAGCAGCAGCAGGGCGAGGAGGCGCAGCATGCGCGGTGGTTGGGGGCGAGGGGAGGGGGAAGGGCATCCAGGGGGGGGCACCAGCGAGCAGCAGGTGGCGGTGGTGCTGGCTTTCTAGCAGCTGCTCCCATGCTGACTGCTGCACCTCGTCTCCCCCCTCCCCACCTGCTGTTTCTTCCCTCCCCTCCCCCAACTCTGCATTGCTCCGCCTTACCCCCTTGGCCGCGCCTCCCTGTGCCCCCCTGCCTGCACTGCCCCTGTCAGCCTCACCATCCACCTCCATTGCCTCCCCCCCTTGCTCAACCTCTCCCTCTGCGCCCTGCCTGCCAGTGCCACTGAGAGCACCATCCCCCACGAGCGCCGCTTCAATCCACTCCTCCACCACACACAGCAGTGTGTGCCACTCCTCCCCCTCCCCTCCCTCTGCACCATCAGCAGCGCCACCAGCTGCGCCCACCAGCGCACACAGCTTCACAAGCTCCACCCGCTGCCTGCCACCAGCCGCACCACTTCTCTCCACACTCCCGTCTGCCTTCTCCTCCCCCTTGTGCTGCAGCCGCCAGAGGCGCGCGGTGAGCAGGGTGCAGCGCAGGTCGTGGGAGAGGCGGCGGGGGAAGGGGCTTGCACGAATGGCAGTGAGACACCTGGCAGGCAGGTAAGCTGCGACTGCTAGCTTGACTTGGAAGCGATGCTCCTAGTGGCCGGTGGAGTGGGGGTTAGGGACGAGGAGAGAGGACAGGATGTGGAGGGAGATTAACAGGTGAGGAGATGGGTGAGGAGGTGAGGAGGTGAGATGTGAAGAAAACGTCAGAAGATGAGGAGGAAATAGAGTGGAGGCGACAAAGAGAAGAGCGAGAGAGATTGGGGCGAGCGATTGGGAGTGTAAAGGCAGAGGGAGGAGGGGGCACCTGGTTGTTGGGGAGAACAATGGACACGCGGTCGCCCAGAGGGGCAGACAGGCGCAGGGGACACGTGGCGAGCTCTGATTGGTCCACGTGGATGCCATGGTGCACGAGGAAGGTGGTGCAGGGCGCCCGCCAGAGCAGCAAAGGGCCGTGCTGTTGGGGGGGAGGAATAGGTGAGGTGAGAGCAAAGAGTTGAGGTGACGGGATGAAAGGGGCACAGCCGTCCCTGAACGAAGAAGGTCTAGGGGTGGGGAGCCGCGTTGTGCGGTGCCATGCATGCATTGCCATAAGGACGCATTGTTGCCCCTTGAGTAGCATTTGGCACGGTGCTACAGGGCACCGCTTGAGTAGCATTTGGCACGGTGCTACAGGGCACCGCTTGAGTAGCATTTGGCACGGTGCTACAGGGCACCGCTTGAGTAGCATTTGGCACGGTGCTACAGCGCACCGCTTGAGTAGCATTTGGCACGGTGCTACAGGGCAGCGCTTGAGTAGCATTTGGCACGGTGCTACAGGGCACCGCTTGAGTAGCATTTGGCACGGTGCTACAGGCACCGCTTGAGTAGCATTTGGCACGGTGCTACAGGCACCGCTTGAGTAGCATTTGGCACGGTGCTACAGGGCACCGCTTGAGTAGCATTTGGCATGGTGCTACAGGGCACCGCTTGAGTAGCATTTGGCACGGTGCTACAGGGCAGCGCTTGAGTAGCATTTGGCACGGTGCTACAGGGCAGCGCTTGAGTAGCATTTGGCACGGTGCTACAGGGCAGCGCTTGAGTAGCATTTGGCACGGTGCTACAGGGCACCGCTTGAGTAGCATTTGGCACAGTGCTACAGGGCAGCGCTTGAGTAGCATTTGGCACGGTGCTACAGGGCACCGCTTGAGTAGCATTTGGCACGGTGCTACAGGGCAGCGCTTGAGTAGCATTTGGCACGGTGCTACAGGGCACCGCTTGAGTAGCATTTGGCACGGTGCTACAGGGCAGCGCTTGAGTAGCATTTGGCACGGTGCTACAGGGCACCGCTTGAGTAGCATTTGGCACGGTGCTACAGGGCACCGCTTGAGTAGCATTTGGCACGGTGCTACAGGGCAGCGCTTGAGTAGCATTTGGCACGGTGCTACAGGGCAGCGCTTGAGTAGCATTTGGCACGGTGCTACAGGGCACCGCTTGAGTAGCATTTGGCACGGTGCTACAGGGCAGCGCTTGAGTAGCATTTGGCACGGTGCTACAGGGCACCGCTTGAGTAGCATTTGGCACGGTGCTACAGGGCACCGCTTGAGTAGCATTTGGCACGGTGCTACAGCGCACCGCTTGAGTAGCATTTGGCACGGTGCTACAGGGCAGCGCTTGAGTAGCATTTGGCACGGTGCTACAGGGCACCGCTTGAGTAGCATTTGGCACGGTGCTACAGGCACCGCTTGAGTAGCATTTGGCACGGTGCTACAGGGCACCGCTTGAGTAGCATTTGGCACGGTGCTACAGGGCACCGCTTGAGTAGCATTTGGCACGGTGCTACAGGGCACCGCTTGAGTAGCATTTGGCACGGTGCTACAGGGCACCGCTTGAGTAGCATTTGGCACGGTGCTACAGGGCAGCGCTTGAGTAGCATTTGGCACGGTGCTACAGGGCAGCGCTTGAGTAGCATTTGGCACGGTGCTACAGGGCACCGCTTGAGTAGCATTTGGCACGGTGCTACAGGGCACCGCTTGAGTAGCGTTTTGGCACGGTGCTACAGGGCAGCGCTTGAGTAGCATTTGGCACGGTGCTACAGGGCACCGCTTGAGTAGCATTTGGCACGGTGCTACAGGGCAGCGCTTGAGTAGCATTTGGCACGGTGCTACAGGGCACCGCTTGAGTAGCATTTGGCACGGTGCTACAGGGCACCGCTTGAGTAGCATTTGGCACGGTGCTACAAGGCAGCGCTTGAGTAGCATTTGGCACGGTGCTACAGGGCACCGCTTGAGTAGCATTTGGCACAGTGCTACAGGGCACCGCTTGAGTAGCATTTGGCACGGTGCTACAGGGCAGCGCTTGAGTAGCATTTGGCACGGTGCTACAGGGCAGCGCTTGAGTAGCATTTGGCACGGTGCTACAGGGCACCGCTTGAGTAGCATTTGGCACAGTGCTACAGGGCACCGCTTGAGTAGCATTTGGCACGGTGCTACAGGGCACCGCTTGAGTAGCATTTGGCACGGTGCTACAGGGCAGCGCTTGAGTAGCATTTGGCACGGTGCTACAGGGCACCGCTTGAGTAGCATTTGGCACGGTGCTACAGGGCAGCGCTTGAGTAGCATTTGGCACGGTGCTACAGGGCAGCGCTTGAGTAGCATTTGGCACGGTGCTACAGGGCACCGCTTGAGTAGCATTTGGCACGGTGCTACAGGGCACCGCTTGAGTAGCATTTGGCACGGTGCTACAAGGCAGCGCTTGAGTAGCATTTGGCACGGTGCTACAGGGCACCACTTGAGTAGCATTTGGCACGGTGCTACAGGGCACCGCTTGAGTAGCATTTGGCACGGTGCTACAGGGCACCGCTTGAGTAGCATTTGGCACGGTGCTACAGGGCACCGCTTGAGTAGCATTTGGCACGGTGCTACAGGGCACCGCTTGAGTAGCATTTTGGCACGGTGCTACAGGGCACCGCTTGAGTAGCATTTGGCACGTGCTACAAGGCAGCGCTTGAGTAGCATTTGGCACGGTGCTACAGAGCAGCGCTTGAGTAGCATTTGGCACGGTGCTACAGGGCACCGCTTGAGTAGCATTTGGCACGGTGCTACAGGGCACCGCTTGAGTAGCATTTGGCACGGTGCTACAGGGCACTGCTTGAGTAGCATTTGGCACGGTGCTACAGGGCACCGCTTGAGTAGCATTTGGCACGGTGCTACAGGGCACCGCTTGAGTAGCATTTGGCACGGTGCTACAGGGCAGCGCTTGAGTAGCATTTGGCACGGTGCTACAGGGCACCGCTTGAGTAGCATTTGGCACGGTGCTACAGGGCACCGCTTGAGTAGCATTTGGCACGGTGCTACAGGGCAGCGCTTGAGTAGCATTTGGCACGGTGCTACAGGGCACCGCTTGAGTAGCATTTGGCACGGTGCTACAGGGCACCGCTTGAGTAGCATTTGGCACGGTGCTACAGGGCACCGCTTGAGTAGCATTTGGCACGGTGCTACAGGGCACCGCTTGAGTAGCATTTGGCACGGTGCTACAGGGCACCGCTTGAGTAGCATTTGGCACGGTGCTACAGGGCAGCGCTTGAGTAGCATTTGGCACGGTGCTACAGGGCACCGCTTGAGTAGCATTTGGCACGGTGCTACAGGGCACCGCTTGAGTAGCATTTGGCACGGTGCTACAGGGCAGCGCTTGAGTAGCATTTGGCACGGTGCTACAGGGCACCGCTTGAGTAGCATTTGGCACGGTGCTACAGGGCAGCGCTTGAGTAGCATTTGGCACGGTGCTACAGGGCACCGCTTGAGTAGCATTTGGCACGGTGCTACAGGGCACCGCTTGAGTAGCATTTGGCACGGTGCTACAGGGCAGCGCTTGAGTAGCATTTGGCACGGTGCTACAGGGCAGCGCTTGAGTAGCATTTGGCACGGTGCTACAGGGCACCGCTTGAGTAGCATTTGGCACGGTGCTACAGGGCAGCGCTTGAGTAGCATTTGGCACGGTGCTACAGGGCACCGCTTGAGTAGCATTTGGCACGGTGCTACAGCGCACCGCTTGAGTAGCATTTGGCACGGTGCTACAGGGCACCGCTTGAGTAGCATTTGGCACGGTGCTACAGGGCACCGCTTGAGTAGCATTTGGCACGGTGCTACAGCGCACCGCTTGAGTAGCATTTGGCACGGTGCTACAGGGCAGCGCTTGAGTAGCATTTGGCACGGTGCTACAGGGCAGCGCTTGAGTAGCATTTGGCACGGTGCTACAGGGCACCGCTTGAGTAGCATTTGGCACGGTGCTACAGGGCAGCGCTTGAGTAGCATTTGGCACGGTGCTATAGGGCACCGCTTGAGTAGCATTTGGCACGGTGCTACAGGGCACCGCTTGAGTAGCATTTGGCACGGTGCTACAGGGCAGCGCTTGAGTAGCATTTGGCACGGTGCTACAGGGCAGCGCTTGAGTAGCATTTGGCACGGTGCTACAGGGCACCGCTTGAGTAGCATTTGGCACGGTGCTACAGGGCACCGCTTGAGTAGCATTTGGCACGGTGCTACAGGGCACCGCTTGAGTAGCATTTGGCACGGTGCTACAGGGCAGCGCTTGAGTAGCATTTGGCACGGTGCTACAGGGCACCGCTTGAGTAGCATTTGGCACGGTGCTACAGGGCACCGCTTGAGTAGCATTTGGCACGGTGCTACAGCGCACCGCTTGAGTAGCATTTGGCACGGTGCTACAGGGCAGCGCTTGAGTAGCATTTGGCACGGTGCTACAGGGCACCGCTTGAGTAGCATTTGGCACGGTGCTACAGGCACCGCTTGAGTAGCATTTGGCACGGTGCTACAGGGCACCGCTTGAGTAGCATTTGGCACGGTGCTACAGGGCACCGCTTGAGTAGCATTTGGCACGGTGCTACAGGGCAGCGCTTGAGTAGCATTTGGCACGGTGCTACAGGGCAGCGCTTGAGTAGCATTTGGCACGGTGCTACAGGGCAGCGCTTGAGTAGCATTTGGCACGGTGCTACAGGGCACCGCTTGAGTAGCATTTGGCACAGTGCTACAGGGCAGCGCTTGAGTAGCATTTGGCACGGTGCTACAGGGCACCGCTTGAGTAGCATTTGGCACGGTGCTACAGGGCACCGCTTGAGTAGCATTTGGCACGGTGCTACAGGGCAGCGCTTGAGTAGCATTTGGCACGGTGCTACAGGGCACCGCTTGAGTAGCATTTGGCACGGTGCTACAGGGCAGCGCTTGAGTAGCATTTGGCACGGTGCTATAGGGCACCGCTTGAGTAGCATTTGGCACGGTGCTACAGGGCACCGCTTGAGTAGCATTTGGCACGGTGCTACAGGGCAGCGCTTGAGTAGCATTTGGCACGGTGCTACAGGGCAGCGCTTGAGTAGCATTTGGCACGGTGCTACAGGGCACCGCTTGAGTAGCATTTGGCACGGTGCTACAGGGCAGCGCTTGAGTAGCATTTGGCACGGTGCTACAGGGCACCGCTTGAGTAGCATTTGGCACGGTGCTACAGGGCACCGCTTGAGTAGCATTTGGCACGGTGCTACAGCGCACCGCTTGAGTAGCATTTGGCACGGTGCTACAGGGCAGCGCTTGAGTAGCATTTGGCACGGTGCTACAGGGCACCGCTTGAGTAGCATTTGGCACGGTGCTACAGGGCACCGCTTGAGTAGCATTTGGCACGGTGCTACAGGGCAGCGCTTGAGTAGCATTTGGCACGGTGCTATAGGGCACCGCTTGAGTAGCATTTGGCACGGTGCTACAGGGCACCGCTTGAGTAGCATTTGGCACGGTGCTACAGGGCAGCGCTTGAGTAGCATTTGGCACGGTGCTACAGGGCAGTGCTTGAGTAGCATTTGGCACGGTGCTACAGGGCACCGCTTGAGTAGCATTTGGCACGGTGCTACAGGGCAGCGCTTGAGTAGCATTTGGCACGGTGCTACAGGGCACCGCTTGAGTAGCATTTGGCACGGTGCTACAGGGCACCGCTTGAGTAGCATTTGGCACGGTGCTACAGCGCACCGCTTGAGTAGCATTTGGCACGGTGCTACAGGGCAGCGCTTGAGTAGCATTTGGCACGGTGCTACAGGGCAGCGCTTGAGTAGCATTTGGCACGGTGCTACAGGGCACAGCTTGAGTAGCATTTGGCACGGTGCTACAGGGCAGCGCTTGAGTAGCATTTGGCACGGTGCTATAGGGCACCGCTTGAGTAGCATTTGGCACGGTGCTACAGGGCACCGCTTGAGTAGCATTTGGCACGGTGCTACAGGGCAGCGCTTGAGTAGCATTTGGCACGGTGCTACAGGGCAGCGCTTGAGTAGCATTTGGCACGGTGCTACAGGGCACCGCTTGAGTAGCATTTGGCACGGTGCTACAGGGCAGCGCTTGAGTAGCATTTGGCACGGTGCTACAGGGCACCGCTTGAGTAGCATTTGGCACGGTGCTACAGGGCACCGCTTGAGTAGCATTTGGCACGGTGCTACAGGCACCGCTTGAGTAGCATTTGGCACGGTGCTACAGGGCACCGCTTGAGTAGCATTTGGCACGGTGCTACAGGGCACCGCTTGAGTAGCATTTGGCACGGTGCTACAGGGCAGCGCTTGAGTAGCATTTGGCACGGTGCTACAGGGCAGCGCTTGAGTAGCATTTGGCACGGTGCTACAGGGCAGCGCTTGAGTAGCATTTGGCACGGTGCTACAGGGCACCGCTTGAGTAGCATTTGGCACAGTGCTACAGGGCAGCGCTTGAGTAGCATTTGGTACGGTGCTACAGGGCACCGCTTGAGTAGCATTTGGCACGGTGCTACAGGGCACCGCTTGAGTAGCATTTGGCACGGTGCTACAGGGCAGCGCTTGAGTAGCATTTGGCACGGTGCTACAGGGCACCGCTTGAGTAGCATTTGGCACGGTGCTACAGGGCAGCGCTTGAGTAGCATTTGGCACGGTGCTATAGGGCACCGCTTGAGTAGCATTTGGCACGGTGCTACAGGGCACCGCTTGAGTAGCATTTGGCACGGTGCTACAGGGCAGCGCTTGAGTAGCATTTGGCACGGTGCTACAGGGCAGCGCTTGAGTAGCATTTGGCACGGTGCTACAGGGCACCGCTTGAGTAGCATTTGGCACGGTGCTACAGGGCAGCGCTTGAGTAGCATTTGGCACGGTGCTACAGGGCACCGCTTGAGTAGCATTTGGCACGGTGCTACAGGGCACCGCTTGAGTAGCATTTGGCACGGTGCTACAGCGCACCGCTTGAGTAGCATTTGGCACGGTGCTACAGGGCAGCGCTTGAGTAGCATTTGGCACGGTGCTACAGGGCACCGCTTGAGTAGCATTTGGCACGGTGCTACAGGCACCGCTTGAGTAGCATTTGGCACGGTGCTACAGGGCACCGCTTGAGTAGCATTTGGCACGGTGCTACAGGGCACCGCTTGAGTAGCATTTGGCACGGTGCTACAGCGCACCGCTTGAGTAGCATTTGGCACGGTGCTACAGGGCAGCGCTTGAGTAGCATTTGGCACGGTGCTACAGGGCAGCGCTTGAGTAGCATTTGGCACGGTGCTACAGGGCACCGCTTGAGTAGCATTTGGCACAGTGCTACAGGGCACCGCTTGAGTAGCATTTGGCACGGTGCTACAGGGCACCGCTTGAGTAGCATTTGGCACGGTGCTACAGGGCACCGCTTGAGTAGCATTTGGCACGGTGCTACAGGGCACCGCTTGAGTAGCATTTGGCACGGTGCTACAGGGCAGCGCTTGAGTAGCATTTGGCACGGTGCTACAGGGCAGCGCTTGAGTAGCATTTGGCACGGTGCTACAGGGCACCGCTTGAGTAGCATTTGGCACGGTGCTACAGGGCACCGCTTGAGTAGCATTTGGCACGGTGCTTCAAGGCAGCGCTTGAGTAGCATTTGGCACGGTGCTACAGGGCACCACTTGAGTAGCATTTGGCACGGTGCTACAGGGCACCGCTTGAGTAGCATTTGGCACGGTGCTACAGGGCACCGCTTGAGTAGCATTTGGCACGGTGCTACAGGGCAGCGCTTGAGTAGCATTTGGCACGGTGCTACAGGGCACCGCTTGAGTAGCATTTTGGCACGGTGCTACAGGGCACCGCTTGAGTAGCATTTGGCACGTGCTACAAGGCAGCGCTTGAGTAGCATTTGGCACGGTGCTACAGAGCAGCGCTTGAGTAGCATTTGGCACGGTGCTACAGGGCACCACTTGAGTAGCATTTGGCACGGTGCTACAGGGCACCGCTTGAGTAGCATTTGGCACGGTGCTACAGGGCACCGCTTGAGTAGCATTTGGCACGGTGCTACAGAGCAGCGCTTGAGTAGCATTTGGCACGGTGCTACAGGGCACCGCTTGAGTAGCATTTGGCACGGTGCTACAGGGCACCGCTTGAGTAGCATTTGGCACGGTGCTACAGGGCAGCGCTTGAGTAGCATTTGGCACGGTGCTACAGGGCACCGCTTGAGTAGCATTTGGCACGGGGCTACAGGGCAGCGCTTGAGTAGCATTTGGCACGGTGCTACAGGGCACCGCTTGAGTAGCATTTGGCACGGTGCTACAGGGCACCGCTTGAGTAGCATTTGGCACGGTGCTACAAGGCAGCGCTTGAGTAGCATTTGGCACGGTGCTACAGGGCACCGCTTGAGTAGCATTTGGCACGGTGCTACAGGGCACCGCTTGAGTAGCATTTGGCACGGTGCTACAGGGCAGCGCTTGAGTAGCATTTGGCACGGTGCTACAGGGCAGCGCTTGAGTAGCATTTGGCACGGTGCTACAGGGCACCGCTTGAGTAGCATTTGGCACGGTGCTACAGGGCACCGCTTGAGTAGCATTTGGCACGGTGCTACAGGGCACCGCTTGAGTAGCATTTGGCACGGTGCTACAGGGCACCGCTTGAGTAGCATTTTGGCACGGTGCTACAGGGCACCGCTTGAGTAGCATTTGGCACGGTGCTACAGGGCACCGCTTGAGTAGCATTTTGGCACGGTGCTACAGGGCACCGCTTGAGTAGCATTTGGCACGGTGCTACAGGGCAGCGCTTGAGTAGCATTTGGCACGGTGCTACAGGGCAGCGCTTGAGTAGCATTTGGCACGGTGCTACAGGGCACCGCTTGAGTAGCATTTGGCACGGTGCTACAGGGCACCGCTTGAGTAGCATTTGGCACGGTGCTACAGGGCACCGCTTGAGTAGCATTTGGCACGGTGCTACAGGGCACCGCTTGAGTAGCATTTGGCACGGTGCTACAGGGCACCGCTTGAGTAGCGTTTTGGCACGGTGCTACAGGGCAGCGCTTGAGTAGCATTTGGCACGGTGCTACAGGGCACCGCTTGAGTAGCATTTGGCACGGTGCTACAGGGCAGCGCTTGAGTAGCATTTGGCACGGTGCTACAGGGCACCGCTTGAGTAGCATTTGGCACGGTGCTACAGGGCACCGCTTGAGTAGCATTTGGCACGGTGCTACAAGGCAGCGCTTGAGTAGCATTTGGCACGGTGCTACAGGGCACCGCTTGAGTAGCATTTGGCACAGTGCTACAGGGCACCGCTTGAGTAGCATTTGGCACGGTGCTACCGGGCACCGCTTGAGTAGCATTTGGCACGGTGCTACAGGGCACCGCTTGAGTAGCATTTGGCACGGTGCTACAGGGCAGCGCTTGAGTAGCATTTGGCACGGTGCTACAGGGCACGGTGCTACAGGGCAGCGCTTGCCACCTACCATGTCATGTCATGCTGTCAGGCCTTCTTCAGGTGCCTGTGAGGTGCCTGTGAGGTGCCTGTGAGGTGCCTGTGAGGTGCCTGTGAGGTGCTCCAGGGATACATTGAGTGGTGCGTGTGTGGTACGAGGCAGTGGAAGCAAGGTGGCTGTGACGACCCACCATCAGCGTGAGCGAGCCATGCCGGTCCGCAACCAGGAGAAAGCGATTGATGCGGTGCAGAGGGGTGACGGGAGCTGTGTGGCTGGGATGAGAAGGGTGGCACGTGCGCAGGTGCACGATGGATGGCGCAGGGAGCAAAGGGGGGAGAAAAGGGGGGAGAGATGGAGGCGTTCAATCGTGCAGCACACGGCGCAAGGAGCCTGCAAGGCATGAGTGCAGCTCACAAGTGGCACATGAGCGCTTCATGCAGCTGCGCTGCGGCATGGGAAGGGTCTTGGCTGGTGGCAGTGGCACGTGGATAGTGGAGCAAGCAGCCGTCCAATTCCCCCGGTGGACTTGAACTCGTTTCAAGGAGTCTCGATGATTCAAGTTTCACAAACGCTACATGCCGGAAGGAAGGTGAGGCTGATGGGTGCAGAAAGCAACAATTTGATATACCTGGCTATTCGGCCACCAAGTGGTGAACAAGTGCGGAGTGACTCACCTCAGAGCCACAGCGGAGTGACTCACCTCAGAGCCACAGCGGAGTGACTCACCTCAGAGCCACAGCGGAGACAGCCTCCACCGACCAGCAGCGCCGCCCCTCCATGTGCACCACCCTCCCCCTGCCCTCATCCCCGCCTCCCCCACTCCCCCCTTCCCCATCGGCCCTGCTCTCCTCCTCCTCCGCCTCCCCTTCGCCCGGACCGTCCCCTGCCCCCCCATACGCCACGTGTCGCACCCACACGCGCTGGCTAGCGGGTGAGCAGAAGGCAAGGGAGGCGGAGCCACGGGGGGGCGAGGGGCTGAGGAGATGCGCGATGGCGGGAGGGAGTGAGGTGCGGTGGGGGCATGGAGAGGAGGGGGCGGGGGGAGAGGAGGGAAGAGGGGTGTGGGAGAGCAGCAGGACGTGGGAGGCCTTGTCCTGGCCTGTGAGGCCCGTCCACACACGAGACATGCGCACACACCACCCTCCGCCCTCTCCCTCCGGATCCCACCTCTCGCCTCCCGCCCTTGCCTCTGCAGCCACCCCATCCTTCTCCCCCGCCCCTCCCCCCCTTGCCTGCCCCTCCATGCTCCGCCGGACGTGTCCCTCCTGTCCAGCTGCTGCTCTAACCCCCACCCCTCCAGCAGGCAACCCGTCCCCCCCACCCCCCGCGAAGCGACTCAGCTTTGCCGCTGCTGCCACGTCTCCTCTTCCGCCTCCCCTCCCCCGCCTTCCCCCACTGCCCACGCTGCCCTCACCATCCCCTCGCCCCGCCTGCAGCCTCAGATCGCCCACCATGCCCGCATCCCCACCCACACCCCCTCCTCTCCCTGCCGCCACACCCTCCTGGCCCCCCGCCCTCACCCCCCCCGCCCTCCCAGCAGCTGCAGCTGTTGCTGGAGACACGGGGCTCAGCCCCGCAAGTAGCGGGTCCAGCTCTGCTGCTGACGTGGCGACAGGTGATTGGTGCAGGAAGCGGTGTGGGAGGTAGCGCAGGTGCCACACGGAGTGCTGGCGGCGGGCTGAGGGGGAAAGGGTTGTGTGTATGAGCAAAGGGGGAAGGCAGAGAGTAGATGGAGTGGTTGAGGACACAACGTGAGTACGAGTGATAAGGGGATGGAAGTTGAAAAGTGGTGGTTGGAGTAGTAGAGATGGAGTGGTGGAGCGGAGGCACATGAAGTTGCCAGCGAAAGGCGGGTTGCTTGGGTTGGGAGAGTGGCCAAGATTGGTTGATTTGGGTTGGGGGAATCAGTGGGGGGACAATATAGTTGTTCAATTTGAGAATTATTAGGGGTTGGCGAATTTCTCAACCAAACCATTTTGGGCAAAATAATTTGGGCCAAATTTGCAATCCCCTAGAAGAATGGTAAAGCTGAATTGTACACCCGAATAAAATAAAAAACAAAAAATCAAACAAAAACAAATCAGAAATAAACAAACAGGGGAGCAGGAAATGGCAGGGAGTGAGGATGCAATTGATGCAATGAGAAGGCGTGGAGGAGAGGGAGGGGCGTGACCGTGGTTGAAGGTGGCGAGCAGCGGCACCTCGGTGGACGACCAGAGCACCTCCTCGCCCCCTCCTCCCTGCTGCCATGGCGGCCCGCCCTCCATGCCCACCGGCTGGAAGGGAAGGGGTGGAGGGGAGAGAGTGGAGGCGTGCGTGCGTTGTGGGGAGTGCAGGGAAGAGTGGTGGAGGAGATATTGTGGGAGGAGGCGGAAGGGGTGATTGGAGGAGGTAACGGAGGGATAGAGGTGGAAGGTAAATGTTGTGTGGGGAGTGGGAATAGATGATGAAATATGACACTGGCCCATTTGCAACAGCACCAGCACCACCACTTGCACCCTCACCTGCAGTTCCTCATGAGCATGTGAGAGCGTGAAGCACCCTGCCTCCATGAAAGCACCCCCCATGTGCGCCCCACCCACTGCCCCATCCGCCCAGTCAGCAGCACCCATCGCGCCACTTGCTGCCCGCCCTGCCTGCCCGCCAGCTGCCCCACCAGCACCGGCGGTGGCGGCAGTGGCAGGTGCAGGAAGGGAGGGGGTGATGGCAGGCGTGTGGGGGGAGAGAGCGGGGAACGGAATGGGGGAGGCGGGCGAGGGGAAGGGAGCAGTGGCAGCAGTGGGGATGGGGAAGGCAAAGGGAGGGGAGGGCGGAAACGGTGCGGCGGGGGAGGGGGCGAGGGGGTGGGTGGGGAGAGGTGTGGGTGAGTGGAAGGCGTGTGTGTGTGCTGGCTGAGACGGCAGAGACGGCTGGGATGGCAGGGGCTGCAGCAGCAGGCCGATGGGGAGCGGCCAGAGGCGCGAGCAGGTGAAGGGCAGCAGCATCTCGTGCATGTCACCTGCATGCGGGACAGACAGGGCGCAGGGGGGCAGGGCGGGCAGGGAGGGCAGGGGGCAGGGCAGGCAGGGTGAGAGAGTTTGAAACAACGTGCAAGAAGGGTGGCGAGGGAGCAGAGCAACGAGGGGTGCAGGGGGGGAGGGGAGAGGCGATTGACCGAAGGGGACCATAACAGCCACCACCCCATCGCTGCCACACGGGCGAGCAAAGAGGCCGCTTTGCCCATCAGCTTGACCCGTTGCATGTAGCTCGCCCCAGGCTTATCAACGAAGGTGGGCTCGGAGGGAGCAAGAGTGACTGACCATTGGTGGCGGCGAGTGTGAGCCCATGCGCGTGCAGCAGCGCGAGCGATGAGAGCGACGCCTCCCCGTGCATTCGCACCCATGCTGCCTGCACTCATGGTCATGGGCAGAGGGCACACGCACGGATGGGCGGAGCGGAGGGAGGGGGAGAAGAGGAGGGCGGGGGACTGGGTAAGAATGGGATGTTAAGGGGGCGGGAGGGTGGAGTGAGATGTGGTGATGATGAGCAGCAATGCTGCTATACAGACACAGAGCCATGGCATGGGAGCAATGATCACCTGGGAGACGGCATGAGAAATGGCATGAGCGCAGCACCTGGGAGATGGCATGCGGTGTGGTGAGCTTCTTGCGCAGCACGCCCTCTGCACTCCACTCCACGCTGCTGCCCCCGCCCCGCCCCATGCGACCCCATGCCACGCAGCGAGTGGGGAGTGTGGGGAGAGGGGAGAGAGGGAGGGCACGGGAGGTTGGGACAGACACAGTGGCAGATGTCAAACCATTTTGCTAAATCAACACATTAATCGCCCCTCCCCTCTCTCCCCTCTTCCCTGTCTTCTCACCGCTCTCCCCTCCTCGCTCTCTCGCCTCTCTGCCCTCCCTCCTCTCTCCCCTCTCAGTCCTCACTCTCCGTTCCGCTCAAATCTTCCCCCAGAAGCCCGCTCCCGCGGGTCTCCCGCCCAACGATCGCCCGCTGAGCTCTCTGCTTCCCCATTCATGCCCGCCACGCCTCGTCCTCATCCCGCCCCTCGCCTTCTCGCTAAGGATTGAATAGATCCCAGCTCGCTTTCCGCGCACCGATCTCCGCGTGCCACTCACCGCGCGCCACTCTCCGCGCGCCACTCACCGCGCGCCCCTAACGGCCACCCTCTCCTCGCATGCGCCCCATAGCGCTGCCACGTCGCCGCCGCCCGCCACCTGCCGGCCGTCGATCACTAGCACATCCCCCCGCGCCTCGTCCGCCAGAATTCGCCCCATTTGAAACGAAAACCCACTGCGACATACAACTACTATCCCACGCTGAATCCACCTCGAGATAAATTCAACGCAAAATCTTTTTCACTAAAGCGCGAGGCAGCTGATGCTGCTGAGTGACGGCTTCCGTGGTAAGAATCTACAAATAAGACGACTACTCTACTCCACTCCACCTGCAAGATGGAGGTTTGGGGGCGATATATCAATTCGTCACCGCAGTGTAATCCTGCTTTTTGTCCTAGTAACCTTCAGAACCAGCTGGAGGATCAAACTTCGACGATTGCCACGACAAAACCGCAATGCACCGATTGTAAGAGCCACGAAAATTACTAGGACATTCGGTTGAAACGTTATTCAATAAAAACGCAATGCACCGATTGTAAGTGAAAGGAATTTTCTCGGATTCCTTACTGGGTCACACTGTACACGTACAACCCCAGTTTTCGGAAAACCAGGCTCGGCCCGCCGACCTCGCCTTCCGAACCACCATCTCGTCGCCTTCGGGTTTTCCAAACCCAAACCTGCACCCAACCATCTCGCAACCCCGGGACCTCAGCCTAGCTAGCATTGCTATATTAGGGCGTGGAAGATCCCTACGAACATGTGTTTGGTTGCTCCTGTGGTCGAACATCTGGCCTCGTCAATGGCTTGCGACATCTTTCGCCGGGTAACACATGAAACCCCACATTGCAAATCAGAGAGGCTTTAAGGTTTCGGAAGGGGCCTTGGTCGCTCTCAGCGAAGAACTCCGAGTTCGTCAAACACTCGGGGCAAATTGAATTGCACCACATCACCCACGTCAACACCCGGTTTCATATCGCGTGCTTCTTCTTACGTCGCCAATCTTTGTCTTCCCCTCGTGGACCCAAAAACGTGGGGCAACTAGGGGGCACGGGCTCTGAAACGTGAGTGCTTCTAGCAATTTTCGTCACTCTATTAACGATGCTTAATGGCGAGAGTCGCAACTATCATAAATATATTCTTATACCTGCATGTAGTTCTAGCTGTAATGTAGATATTAACTTTATAGGTGGTGCACCTCTTTGTTTTCTATATGTACCCTATTGCTATAGTGAACATTCATTCTCCTCTCACATTCTCCTCTCTCCTTGGCACAAACTAGCTCGACCCCCCTTGGCCTAGGCTGCTAAGCCTAGGCCCACTTAAACCTAATTACCTACCTACTCCTAATATTCTGATATGGTATTAGAGCCTGTTAAGCCCTAGCATGTGGGCCAGCCTCTCGCTTCCGCTGCTGTTTTTCCGGTCGCGCGCCTTGGGCGCGTGGCGATTTTCGTTCTGTCCCGCGCCCGGGTGGCGCGTGACGTTTTTTCTGCCCGTCGCTGACCCGCCCCTAGCTCCCGCGACGGCGCCCTGAGCCGCCGCGGACCCGCCCCTGGCGCCCGCGACGGTGCCCTGAGCCGCCGCAGACCCGCCCCCGGCGCCCGCGACGGTGCCCTGAGCCGCGGCGGACCCGCCCCTGGCGCCCGCGACGGTGCCCTGAGCCGCCGCGGACCCGCCCCTGGCGCCCGCGACGGTGCCCTGAGCCGCCGCGGACCCGCCCCTTGCGCCCGCGACGGTGCCCTGAGCCGCTGCGGACCTGCCCCTGGCGCCCGCAACGGCGCCTCTACCTCACCCCGCGCCTGCACTCGCTGCAGCCGCCCCTGCCCTACCCGCGCCGACCCTCTGTAGCCGCTCTGCGGCTTTATCCCCCCCCCCCCCCCTCCTTCGTCTCCCTGCAGCCGTGGGGGGGAGGGTCTGGGGGTGGCGGGTGTGGGGGTGATGGGTGGTGTGTTTCCCTTCCCCTCCTCCTTTCGTTCCCACTGCTGCAGCTGCCGCTGGGGGGGAGGGTGTGGGGGAGCCAGGGGAGTGGCACTGGGGTGGCGGGTGTGAGACCAACCAGCCGCCGTCCCTCTGAGGTGGGGGGGGGGGGGGGAGGAGAGTAAAGGGGTGACAGGAGTGCCTGCCCCTTTGCTGCTGTACCTGCTCTGTTGCCTTGCCTGCTGTTGTTGTTTTCTCTGTCTGTGGTGTACCCCTGCAGGTTGTGTTCTGCACTTAGCTATTCCTGCATGCAGTTACGGGGGGATGTCAGAAATATATTCTTATACCTGCATGTAGTTCTAGCTGTAGTGTAGATATTAACTTTATAGGTGGTGCACCTCTTTGTTTGCTATATGTACCCTAGTGCTATAGTGAACATTCATTCTCCTCTCACATTCTCCTCTCTCCTTAGCACAAACTAGCTCGACCCCCCTTGGCCTAGGCTACTAAGCCTAGGCCCACTTAAAACTAACTACCTACCTACTCCTAATATTCTGATAGCAACATGTGTTACTGTCACAACTGCGCGACCAATGCCTTGTTCACAGGGATCTTCCACGCTCTTAGTTCTAGGCCTCGCTGTTTGCTCAGACGTTGTAATCACTTCCGCGTTATTGAATTTTGCGCACTCTTCTCTTTCACGACTCATAACGCTTGGTACCAGAGCTACTTTCCTAAGTGTCAAATGTTGTAGCCTGTAGTGAGGCTTGTCTTAGGGGGTACATGTCAGAATATGTTGTTTGTGTAGCCTGCAGTGGGGTACTCTATAGTGAGTACAGCCCCTTAGGGTTTGCTATTTGTATCCTGCTGCCTGCTAGTTCAATCATCCCTTCTCAATCCTGTTCCTACACACATTCCTAGCTCGTACTTGGCTCCTCGTTACTAGTCCTACTGTGGCCTAGGCTACTAAGCCTAGGCCGTACTCCTACTACTTCTGATATGGTATCAGAGGGCGGCATGTCTGCCGCCTTCCTGTGTATGGGCCCACCACCCGCTTCCGTTGCCGTACTGTCCGCCGCGCGCCCCGTGGTGCGCGGCGGCGAAACCCTAATTTCTGCCCGCCGCGCGCTCGGGGCGCCCGGCGGTTTTCCCTTCCGTGGCGCCCGTCGTGGTGCCCTTGGGGGGGCCTCCGCGGTCCCCTCCCGTCGAAGCGCCCGTCGAGGCGCTCTCGGGGACCCGCGCGGCCTCCCCTCCCGTCGCCCGTCGAGGCGACCTCGGGGACCCGCGCGGCCTCCCCTCCCGTCGCCCGTCGAGGCGACCTTGGGGGCCCGCGCGGCCTCCCCACCAGTCGCCCGTCGTGGCGACCACGGGGGCCGCGCGCGGTCCCCTCCCGTCGCCCGTCGAGGCGACTTCGGGGGCCGTGCGCGGCCCTCCCCGTCGCCCGTCGAGGCGACTTCGGGGGGCGCGCGCGGCGCCCTCCCCGTCGCCCGTCGAGGCGACTTCGGGGGGCCCGCGCGGCACCCTCCCCGTCGCCCGTCGAGGCGGCTCTGGGGGCTCGTCGCGGCGCCCTCCCTGGTGCCCGTCGCGGCGCCCCGGGGGGGGGGCGCGCGGCTCCCTTCTCGTCGCCCCTCGGGGCGCCCTGGGGGCCGTGCGTTTCCCCCCCCCCCCCTTCTGCCTTTCAACTGCGGCGGCCGCCCCTGGAGCCGCCCGCCACTGCAGCAGCAGCCCCTGGAGCCGCCCGCCACTGCAGCAGCTGCCCCTGGAGCAGCCCGCACCTGCAGCAGCCGCCCCTGGAGCAGCCCGCACCTGCAGCAGCCGCCCCAGGACCCGCGCGAGCCGCCTCTGCAGAAGCCCGCCCCGCCCCCCCCGTGCTGCCCATTGCTCCCATTCCACCGTGCGTTCCGCGGTGGCTGGGGTGTGGGGTGGCGAGCATGGGGGTGAGAGGTGTGGGTTCTCCCCTCCTCTTTTTTTCGTCTCCCACTGCTGCAGCTGCCGCTGAGGGGGGTGGAGGTGTGGGAGTCGTGGGGAGTGGCACTAGGGGGGTGATGTGGGAGTGGAGCTAGGGGTGAAGCAGGGGGTGTGTGAGAGGGGTGTGGGACTGTTGGGGGAGGTTGAGTGGAGGCTGCTGTCTTGTCGTCCGCAGCACCTGTAGTCCGGGGCGCACTGTCCTGGTAGCTCAGAGAGCCTGCTGCACCTGTTGCCCGTGGGTCCGTTGCTCCTGCCGCTCGTCGCAGCCGCAGAGCCTGTTACTCCTGTATTCCGGGACGCACTGTCTCGGTAGCCACTGAGAGCCTGCTGCACCAGTCGCCCGTGGGTCCGTTGCTTCTGCCGCTCGTCGTAGCCGCAGAGCCAGTTACTCCAGTATTCCGGGGCGCTCTGTCTCGGTAGCCACTGTGTCAGGCGCCACTGTGTCAGCCGCTTCTGTTGCCCGTGTGTCTGCAGCTTCAGTCGTCGCCTCCCATCTTCTCTCCTTTCATAGTCCCTCCTCCTCCTCACTTGCCCTCTGTGATAGCCTCTAGCTTTGCTGATAATTATGAACTATTGCTATGACTGCTCATTGTGCTGATTACACCCCACTTTGGCTATGGGGGTGTGTCAGAATATGTTGTTTGTGTAGCCTGCAGTGGGGTACTCTATAGTGAGTACAGCCCCTTAGGGTTTGCTATTTGTATCCTGCTGCCTGCTAGTTCAATCATCCCTTCTCAATCCTGTTCCTACACACATTCCTAGCTCGTACTTGGCTCCTCGTTACTAGTCCTACTGTGGCCTAGGCTACTAAGCCTAGGCCGTACTCCTACTACTTCTGATAGTACAAATGTTAGGATTTGCTATGTATACCCCAACCCACATCAATGAACCAACACTTTCATTCTTGACATGGTATCACCTAGGTTAGGATCCTGTAGGATCCCGTTCCTCCCGCCCGAGCCTGACGCGCCTCACCTGTTCTGTCGCGTAGCCCCGCCGTAGCTGTCGACACTCTCCCGTTCCGTGTCCCGTCCCGTCCCGAGCTTGTTCCGTTGCGCGCGTTCCCCCTGCGCCCGCCCGTTAGCGCCCGCACGTTCACGCCCGTCTCTCGTGCCCGTTAAGCCATCGCCGCGCCTGCCCGTTAGGCCCTCCGCGGGCCCTGCCTTCGCGCCGTCGCGCCTGCCCGTTCCACCCACCGCGTGCCCTGTCTTCGCGCCGCCGCGCCTGCCCGTTAGGCTGCCGCCGCGCCTGCCCGTTAGGCCCGTCGAGGTCCT